CACATCCACACCCACACCACCCACACCCACCCACACCCACACCCTTGCCGACAGGGGGTCAAAGTCCTTGAGTACGAATCCTCCCCTATTCCAAACCTTTTCTTGAAATATAAATGACTGGAATACATTTTTTTAATGTTCTAAATAGCGCAATTTCTGATTTTTGCGCAGATAATTGGCTATATGATGGATATCAATGATTATGACTAAGTAGTAATGTATCGATTCGTCACAGTCGTCATATAATCGACACAACAAACATAAACTGATCAACTTCTAACTTTCGAGAATAATTAACATTAATGTTTCTGAATTTATTAAGATACATAATAGTACATTGAGACTTACAGTGCAATTAAATGGATATGTACAAATGTGAGGATCGCATTTCAGTCTATTAAGGGCTGCACTGATCAGTTTGTATTGTTATTTGTCGTAGAAAATCAAACAACGAATTTCAAGACTTGTCTGCTCCACATTCGGTATGGGTTCATTTTCATTTATAAAAGCCGTATGAAAGGCAAATTGAGCGACTTCAGGCTTGCTATCAAAAATTTTAAAGACAAACATCTCATCGGATCCCATTTTACTCAAATAGTACCATATATAGGCATCTTGCGAGTTTCGAGACATAATGCAGGCTGCGCCGTGATAATCTGCCCCACGAACATTGAGTGGATGAACATCTTTCTCGACATCAACCGAGCGATAATCACAAATGGTTAATGGTTTTTGTGTGATTGGATTGGAACCTAATAGACGCCAGACGTTGATTATTTGAAATCGATTTTGCATTACTCTTTCACCTTCTTTCTTTGCCAATCCAACGTTCTACCACTCTTGGAGCTCCAGTTGCACTGATATCAATGTGAGGAAAAAAGGCAGGATTTCTGTGCTTGTCATCAAGTTGCTCATCGGTACGTGATGAACCTCGAGAGCGAAAGTTATATTGATAGATAAGCACGCGTGAGGCGCCCAGATGTTTCTTGAGAAGGTCACTAATCTCTTCATAATAAGTTTGTTGTGCTTCGCTGCCTTCTTCAAATTCTTCCTGTATGGAGCCGTCGTATTTGAGCACTTCGAAAGCATTTGTGTCAAGATTGACACTCTTCTCCTTGTCTCGTAAGTCGTGAATAGTGACACGAACAGGTGCTTGTACAAAATTTGTTCTCTGAGTCGCTGGTATCGAAGCTACCATCGTCCAGGGAGAACAACCATCTATCGTGGAAGTAAGATAATTAATTTCTCCAATGACATCGCCACCCATTGTGATAAATTCAGAACAATTCGTAGAGGATGCTTTTACTTGGTTACGACTGAATCTACCTATTGCAAAGAATCAGTTCGTTTTATATACACAATGAGATAAGAATAGCGTTAGAGAGGAGGACAGATGGTAGTATAGATGATATTATATTAGAAATGAGTATACAAAAGCATGAAAAAAGGGAGAATGCAGCGACGTTGTACAATGATAACAATGAAGCAAGTAGCTCATACATGCGGTTGAGCACGCAAATAAATGAGATAGATGAAAAGTGGGTAGTATGTATAAAGCAGAGTTGGAACCGGTAGGGTTTTTCCTTACCGGTACCGGTGGAAACGATCAGTTCAGACCGGATCGGCCGGTATACCGACATGAGTCATCCTTCATTTTTCTGACCCTATAATCGTCAAATTAACCGTCAATTAGTCATATCTGCATCCTTATCACAACAGTAATCATGTAACAGTCTTTTTTAGTGCTTTTCATAAATTTTTTCTATCTTAGTATCTATTGGTGAACTGAAAACTCCATAGGACTACAAATTCTATACCAGCTTTCCACATTTAATAACTGTTCCTCAAACACGAACCTTATTACTTAGTTGAATATTAAATCTACTTCTCACGTAATGCTCGCATTGTTATCTTCTATATCTGTGCAAAATGTATTCTGTAAATAGTCCATGCTTCCCGATCAGAGAGGCTGAGGAGTCTAGTTTCCCCAAAATTTGAAAACATATCTGACTTTCTGCCAACATTTTGAACACCTTCTGCGAAATTTGTTGAAGTTCCGTGGAAACCACTGGTAAAAACCTGGTTGTTAAGTCCTCTTGGTCCTTTTCCTGACAGAAAGTCAAATAGAAGCACTTTCTACCAATAAAATCTCGCAGAAAGTCTCTAACTTTAGTATTTTCTGTTTGGTATGTCCCAGAAAGTCATATGAAAGTACTTTCCGGCAAAATTTCTAGACATTCTTCCAAATTTTCAGCCCCCTATACTTTTCAAAACATTGGAAACCCTGAAACAGTAGGAGAAATATAAGTAAATTTATGATAAATTACACTGCTAAACAGCTATTCAGTTTTGTATCGATGCGAAAGCGAGTCGATAAAATATGATAAGTATATTATGATGAATTACCACTACGTAGAATAATCTGGAGCACTTTCCTTAACAGAAAGAGTCTTCGACATCAGTCAAAAGATTTTGATTTGAGAAAAAATCACTCTATTATGCTCATTTTTTCGAAAAAAACATGCAAAAGCTCAAAAACTCCTTACTGACCGGTATATCGGTCGGAAAGGAATTCTCTACCGGACCGGACAGACCGTTTATCGTTACTGGTTACAACTCTGCGTTGGTCGATGGTGTCGAGAATTCACTTTTCTCCAGCAACTGCAGCTAGTGCATACTAAGTAGTTTATCGTATAATAACGAAAATAAGCAATAAATTATTTTTTGTTACTCATGAGAGATAGTAAATATAATTTTTTTCCGAAAATTTTTCTAATATTTGTCATTTTTGTTTTGCCCAGATCAATGGCATACGGCCGGAATACACCGGAAAATGATAGGAACTTAGAAGCAGGAATCCAATGCCCGGAGCCAATGACTGGATTTTTCCGGTTTCCATCGGAACTGTCCGTAACCAAGCAGTGCTGATCATCGGATACGATCATCGTATTCCTGCTTTCAAGTTCCTACCATGTTTCAGAGTTTTTCGGCCGGAAACGATGTCTTTTCCGGCGAGTTCCAGGCGGAAATAAACGGAATCGGGTGCCGGAATCTTTGACCCGAGTCTTTTGAACTATACGCTGCCCTCACATATCATCCTTGGATTCAAAATTGATTGTTCACTTTTCAGATCTTTTTCTTATAACAAAAGTGTTCATTTTGTATAATTACACTTCTGCTGAAATTTCTGCATATTTAATTAAGTACATGAGAGCAATTCCCTAGTACCTATGTTGTCACTAGGGGTGGCACTTTCACTTTCAAAAAGGAAAGTTTTTACTTTTCTTTCCTAAAAGAAAGGAAAGTTAACTGACTTTCAACTTTCCTTTCCCAAAAAGAAAGGAAATGAAAATTGAAAAGGTTGCTTTCCTATTTTCCTATTGTAGAAGAGAGGGGGCTAACTTTCCTATTCTGTTCTATAAAGAAAAAAGTTTAAAAAAGTCCAAAAGAAAGTGAAAGAAAGTAAGAGAAAGCAAAGGAAAGTTGAAAATCAGTGAACTTTCCTTTCCTAAGAGAAAGAGAAGGTTTCCTTTCCTTTCGTTTTCTTTTTGAAAGTAAAAAGAAAGTGAAAGCGCCACCCCTAGCTGTCACTTTTGTATTAAACCATAGTCTCCTTTCATTATATGTATGTGAGAATCTTTGTAAAATAATTGTTTCCTTTTTGATATTATTGAAGTCTAATATCTCAAGTAATGCTTAATTTGTTCTTAATTGTATATACACTTTTGGCCTATAAGCAGAGATAAGGTTATGAGTAAAATAGATATAGGGTAAAAGAACAATTTATTGTGAACATGAAAAGTTTCAACAGATATTCTAGTTTCTGGAAAATATTCAGATTGCGAAATCGAGTTCGACATCCGAGAAATGTTCATATGAATGCGATCGTGATTCGCTAACTAGAAAATCGAAAGCTGAATTTCGAAGTTTCTTGAATATCGTATTTTCAAGAAACTAGAAATTGATCGTCGAATTCGTATGACCATTCCTAGAATGTCCAATTCTGTTCTCTATAACTTATTTTCTATTTAACAGTGTATCAGACAGCTACAAAACTTGAAAAACCATCGTATAAAAGCCTCGGTTTCAGAAAAAAACAGTAAATTTCTTAATAGACTAGCCATAACAATAAGAGCACGACATAGTAAATATGACTGGATAGAAATCGAGAGGAATCACAAAGTGCAATATAAATATTTCAAAAAATCATCTTATTACTTAAATATGTTTAATTATGAATATTTTTTTCTTCCACCTTAATTTTCCCTTTTTTTAAAATGAATTACAAATGAAGCACTTTGAACGTGAGAAAAAAGATGTCACTAACTTTCAACATAGTATTACGTTAAGGGGGGAGGATCCTCTCCTCCCCCTGACTTTTTTGATATATTCTAGAGCTCGTCGAGTTACATATAATCTGAATTTTTTTTGATTTGTCGATTATTTTTGGCCGAGATATCGAATTTGCAAATTACGTTTTCCCATGGGAGCCCAGCAGAAACGAAAAAGTATTTTGAAAGTATCCTTGCCAAAAAAGTGCCCAGAGACAGCACGGGCGAAACAAAGTGTACGAACAAAAAAGATGCACCGTCATTGGTTGGGTACCGTGACGTTCCTTGATTTTTGAACTTTGCTTCATGAAGTCTAAAAATTGAAAAATATGTCAATTTTGCGCGCAATTTGTTTTTCTCATATTTTCCAATTTTCAGACTTCACGAAGCAAAGTTCAAAAATCAAGGAACATCACGGTACCCAACCAATGACGGTGCATCTTTTTTGTTCCTACACTGTGTTTCACCCGTGCTGTCTCTGGGCACTATTTTTGGCAAGGATACTTTCAAAATACTTTTTCGTTTGTGCTAGGCTTCCATGGGAAAACGTACTTTGAAAATTCTATATGTCGGCCAAACAAATCGACAAATCGAAAAGGGTGTGGGTGTGGGTAGTCTCGAAAATGAGAAGTACACTGACACCCGCGCCCACACCCGACACCCACACACCTACACCCTTTCTAAATTGACTGTTTCAATATCTTCAACAGTAATCGATTCATTTAATAATTTTTTCCATAATAAAATCGGAAATTTGACATTTAAATAATGTTTCTCTCTTATAGCCATACCAAATAATTGTCCAACAAAACGATATTGTGTTTTATATTTATTTGAAATTGATTTATTGGGTGGAAAAACATTTGGAATCCAACAATCTCGATTTAAATCGCTATTCATACGTCCATTTGGGTATAAAATAAATAATGATAATCGTGAAGAACATATATCCGAACAAATACGAGTTATTGAATCCCGATATGATCCACCATGATCAGTACTATGCATTCCAATATATTGTGCATGCCAAAGTTGTTCATTCGATCGTCGAAATGTGATATGAGCATTTGTATGCAATTGTTGATAAGCTTGATAGAGCATTGTATTTTCACTGTTGTCACTATTTGAATTAGCTTTAATTATATCAAAATTAACTATATTCCAATCACCATTATATTCAACTTCGGTTTTTTCTAAAGATTTTGCTAATAATTGAAATTTTGTTGACGATAATAAGTAAGATTTTATTATTCGAATTTGATCAGTGAAAAAACTTTGTCTTAATGGTAAACTAAGATCAACTATTGGAAGACTTTTTTCAATGAATTTCTTTAAAATATAAAAAAATTGAGATCGAATTTGAATAGAATCAGATGGAATATTTGATAAAGATAGATAATTTTTATAGAATGCTGCATTCGATTGAGTTTCTTTTGGAAGATTTTGAATGAATTTAGAAAATGAATCATTAAGTGACTGATCATTATGCATTAAATTGATTAGATCTTGATCAGCGTTAGTATTAAAATGATTATTAGATTTGTTATAATCATCTTGATTTAATTTAAAATTATTACCTAAAATATCATTTGACTGTTGAAAAAAGCTTCAGGTAATAATGTTTGTTTTGTTGGATCACGGCAAGCAATAATAATCTTAATTGTTGTATATAAATCTTGAGTCTGTTCGGGAAGTTTTGATTCAATATTTTGAATTTCATTGCTATCGTCAATATATTGATTTTTTTGTTTTGTTAATAAAACAAGAGTGTGGATGTGTGTAGTCTCGAAAAAGAGAAGTGCACCGACACCCACACCCACACCCACCCACACCCGGCCACGGCCGTGACCGTGCGTGACTTTTTTCAAAGATCGTGACCGTGGTCGTGACCGTGACTGAAGCTTGGTCAAGGTCAGTCATGGGAACTTTGTCGAAATTTTGCAAAGCTCTGAGAGGTAGTAGGGGAACCTATTAGCACTGGTTATATAGTTTATTAAGAAGAGAAAAAGATGTATAGGTTCAACAATTGCAACGATAAAAAAAGAATCTTGTATATATATGGTAGTAGAATCACGCCATATGTAGAATGAAAGATTATCGAAAGGTGATCACACCATATAAAAAGACAGATCATAATGTGATTAAGACGATGAGGTGATAACAGTGTCGTCGAGAGTTACCTCGATAATAGAACCTTCGCGAAGCTTCCCCTCCCCACTCATCGTTTTTTATGAAAAATTGGGAAGTTTCTAGTATTAGTGGTTTTGAAAACCCATGAGAGGGAGTACGGGCACCCGCACCCGAAATTGCCCTCTCCCCTCTCGACCATCACTTCTAATAGTAAGCAGAAACTTTGCAATAGCTCTTTCTGGAAAGTTTTTTTCATGTTGAAGAACCAGAAAGAGGAGCCGTGACTCACGGTGACGGTCACGGGCTGGGCTCACCATGACCGTGATCGTGACCGTGACCAAAAACGTTGGTCACGCCGGGCACTAGTCTGGATGCATCCCTATTCTAATCAATGAATTCTTACATTCATGATCACCATCACTTGAATCCTCTTGATTTTCAGTTGTTTGTCTATGAATAGTCTTTCTTTATTTAAGTTTGGTGTCACTAGTTTCACGTTCATCTTCATCAGTTAATATCAATGCATCTTGCAGTTTTTCATTTGATTTATCATAATCTTCATCTACAATAGAAGTTATAAAAATAAAAATTTATATTCAAATTTTTTTAACCTTCTTCATTTTCATTAATTCAATCTTCAGAATCAATTATTTTAAAAGAATTCTTGTTTTTAGTTTTTGATTCATTTTCTTTTCTAATTTGATGTTGTAAGAACCATTGACTGAAATGTCTATGCCGTTATTCATATGGTTTTTCAGTTCGTTGAAATTAAAGGTGTTTATAAACATATTTTGATATAAATGCATATCAATCATCAACAGGATATGCTTCAAAACCATCTTTATTTTGTAAAAATACATAATAAGACGAATTTATTGTGGAACCACCTTCTTTTAATCCTCGATAATGTTTTAATTTATTTTTTTGTCGATGAATGATCTGCTAATAACCAAGAAAGATCTTCAATATTTATTTCTTTAGTTAAATAAAGTTTTTGTTTTAATGCTTCTTTTTGTTCACGATCATATTCATTTTCTATACCGATTTTAGGTAAAACAATACTAAGTTATGTTGTGAATAATTTTGATGTTGATGAGACATTAGGATCAAGATCGATTGCTGAACGATATGTACACGGATTAATTTCACGTTTCATGTCACTTGCTTTCGAATCTTATGTCAATTGATAGACTACTTGCAAATTCCAGAATTTCATATTAAGCTCGAGTTATACAAATGAAAGGTGATAGGTTACATTTAAGTTCGGAAAAATTCATTATCGATATTAAACATCTTAGTAAGAATTAGTTTATTCGTTATAATGAAATTCCATTTTAATTCAGATAGTTGATTAGATGATAAGAATGTGACTTAGTTAGATACTGTAACAGAATATTCTCTAGATACAGCTGTTTCAGGTTACGATGTTGTTTAAATTGTAGCAGATCCTGTAAGTATTTCGGTTGAATGTGGTCCAAATATAATAGTCTCTGATTATGGTGCCATTAGACTTAGCACTTAGTTCATGTTTTTTCTTCCTTCTTATGATATGTTATTGATTTGATACATTCAGTTAGAGGAAAAAGTCGTTTCATTCGTCTTATCAATAGTTGGATGCGTTTTTTTTTCTGTCGCTACCTAGATACTATTCGGTTCGATAGAGAAATGTAAAAAACTGATTGTAATTTATTTCCAATAAAATTAAGGTAATGAACAAAGATGTCATATTCCTGTTACCAACAACTCTCATTTTTGATAAAAAGCATCATTGATAAAGCTATGTCTATAGAAACCATGAACTTAAAGGCTCTCTGTTAAGAAAGGATAATTTATTTTTCACGTGTACTTCACTTGTTTGAGATGAAATCTCGAATATATTATGAAATTTCGTACCAAGAATAATGATATACTTATCCCTTTTCGTCTGTAATAACAACAAATAATGAGGATCTGAGAAATCTTGATGATTATGAAAAAATAGTTCAGAGCTGTCGTATATATATGAAGAAGTTCGATTTTTTTTTCTGTTTCATTTCTTGAGTTTTGACGCTCGATTTAATGTTATAGATAGGTCAAAAACAAAAACAGCAGAATGATAAAATGCTTTATACTATCCAGTTTGACTGTTACAAAAATATTTTGTTCCAAAATATTCTGTGGAAAAGTTGTCGCAAAAATACGAAATAGTACATCATGTTTAGCATGAAAATTCCGATTTTTGTATCAATAAATTATTTTGTAAAACCTATTTGAATTCATTCGTAATTTGAGTGTATAAGGCACCATACATCTAGCAATGAAAGCGTTAAACATCAGCCCGTTAGATAGCTTCCGCTTAATACATACTCTTTTATTTAACAACTGAAAACACTAACATTTGCACGATACATTCAAAAGTAAATGCAACATGTTCTTGTTGTTGTGTGGAATTGGAATCAAACCGGTTTCTATTCCATATTTAGTTCTGTTCTAACAAGCTTTTGATGACAATGTAAGTATAAATCTGACTTACGAACTCAATTGATCGCTGTTTGACTTGAACAGTATAAGTCTGATCTCAAACATTCTAAAAACTAAGGTTAAAAGACTTTACTTTATCGTATTATAGCTCCTTGTTTTATCTCATTATCTTGCTACATTCAATCTTTCTTTCGACTTTTATTTTGTTTCTCAGAACTATATGCATGATTTCTACTGATTTGAATATGATTGTCTACGCGCTACTTCATTCAGTTTTTTCATGTTGATAGTGTCCGATAATCGATGCCAGAAAGAAAAGACATATGCAACATAAAAACAATTCATATCTACAAACTGGTATTTCGAATTGAGTTCTCTAAAAAATAATGAGTACATGTTTATTTTTTAGCTATGCAGTAAGTATCCAAAACATATCAGACACCAATCCTGCAAATATCGAATTACTATCAGCAGTAAATCGTACTATGTGTAAAAGCTCAGGGCCAAATCGCGTTGCTGTGAACAACTGGCGGTTCACTACAATTAATCGCTTACAATAATTGGTGAGTAGCGCATAAAAACAAAAATTGTGCATTAGTAGTTACGAAGAGTATAGTTTCCTCATTTCTCATAGATTCAAAAACCTAATAGCCTGGTTCTGCATATAAATTATACTTATACTCATTCAGTAGCGAAGTGAACACAATACTAAAAGAAAAGAAAAATTTTTTTTTGGAGATTGTTGTTCGTAAAATTTTCAAATAGTGTCTAAGACTATCAAAACTGAGTAGTCAAGACGAGACTTATCTTCTATATATTGTGCGTTTAGAGAGGACCGACGCTAGTTAGAGAACACTAGATTCTCCCATTGCGATCAATAAGACATCAAGAGAAACCCGTAAACTTGATCTAGGTTAGCAGACATTTTCATGTTTTATTGATGTTTCAAATGGATTCAGTTTGCTAATATCACCTGATGCACATCCAACTGTGAATGAAATGTGAGAATTCAACAATTTTCAATAAAAAAAATTACGAGCACACCGCCGTTAACTGGCAAATACCAGTGGTTTTCATCATATGAAGACATACACATTTTTATTGAATAGTAGAACTGTAACAATGACGACACAACATCGCGTCATTAAGTGCTAAGACGATTTCAATTTAATATGAGTTAAAGATTGAAAAATTTATCTAAAAATCAATTCATGGTAAAAATTCTAACAGAGTAAATACTAAATCTAAAACAATCACTGAACTAAATCATCCTTTATGTAAATGATTTTCGGAATTAGAACTAAATGGTTAGAATATCGAATAAAGGTAAATTCAACTCAACGATTATTTAAAACCATCCAACATTATACATATTGCCACAGTGACACCAATACGCAAAATTAACAGGAGTTTTAGCTTCAAATTTCTTGTCGTATATTAGGAAACTAGATATAAAATGTATATCACTCTCAAATAAAAACTTAGAAAAAACCTGTGGTATGTTGCAATGTATTGAGCATAAAAGTGCGGTATTGAATGTAGCCGTTGTAATCTCTTTCAAATACAACAGTAATCTAATTTTTAACTGCGACTTCATGATTCGCTGTTTCTCAAGTTTTTATAAAACTTAGCGAACTTACCTGTAATGGAGGAAAAACTCTGATTTATCTATTTAAAATCTCTGACAACTTCAAAAAGGGTGTTTTGTCAATAATCATTGTCTGTTTACATCGATATAGTCCCATAAGTGGGCTATACAATTCAGGTGAGGATGTACGTTTTCTTTTCACTCACACACTAACATTGACTTTCAAGAAATCCGGCTAATGAAAGTTATTATCAAAATATTGACAACGCTATTTATTGTTATCATTAGTTGATGTGTAAAAAAAGTTTCTCTTTACTTTAGATTGAAAAAAAAACAGCTTGAGTAATTAGTAAGTCAGTTCGATAAGACAGTTGCAATTTAAGATCATCGATATTTTCGAAACCTAAACAAACGAAGAGGTGACATCACTTTTCCGAGTGGATGATGTTTACAACTGATTTTATGTGCAGTATGCGAGTGATGCATATATGAAAAATACTGGATCAAACAATCCCAACAGAATATACATCGGCATTTTGGACAAGTTATTTGATCACAGCCATCATTTTTCTCAATCTTAGCCTGACATCCAGGACATTTTTTCGAGTTATTTTTCATCCATTTGCGTGTCTCTGCATCAGTCTGTAGGTAAACTCGATCATATAAATCACAAGTCATGCCTTCATGCCATTTAACACGATGATACGCACATGTATCTTGTTCGCATACAATGCAAGTAATTTTTGAGTTTTCAGTTGATCCTCCATCATCATACTGACCGAAACCACATTCATGAGCACACCAAAAGAATTTATCATCGTTTCCAAGGAATCGTCTGATTAGAGAAGCATCATATTCGTTCAATGATAAATCATCACTAGCCATCAAGAGCACTTGACAAATGTCTTCTAAATTCCAATTTGCTAGACAGTCTGGCTCAGGACACGACACTTGATTACTAATAGTACTCTCGAGAATAACTTGAGTATTATAATATGTACAGGAATTGCACACATATCGGTAAATATGTTGACATGTTTCACTAAATGCAGGATAAAACTCATCTTCAGGTTGCTCGATGTAACATACGGCACATTCACGTGTTGGTATAAAAATTTCACTAGAATTGTGAACACAAGCAAATACATTTTTTATTTTCCAAACGGAAAATTTTACAAGTTCTAGGAATGGAGATTGTTTCTCCGAAAAGGTTGCAAAATCTTGAAACAAAATGCTGATGACAAAGTCAAAAGCGAGAATGACATACACTAGAGATATCTGAAGTTTTGTTCTTTTTTAATGTTCGAGATTTCCTTGTGTAGTCATTTTCCAGACACACGAACGGTTCTAACAAAAGCTGCTAGTCATGAATTTCAATATAATTGTAGTTTCATTCAAATATGATTCAATAAAGTAATTGACTGTCGAGCGATTGAACTACATTTGAAAACTCTCGGATATGAATTTCTCCTTATTAATAAACAGACCTATTGAGTTGATAGAAGTTTTGAATGAGTAAACTAAGTATTCATTGAAAGTTTAGATAAACAAACTCATTCGTACTGGTCAATGAATCATAACGAAACAGTATCTATAGATTATTTCATCATACTTACTCTTCTTGATCTGTATTAGTTATCGCCGCCATTACCACATTGGCTTCACCAGATGTGTTTTGATCCTGTTTCACTTCATTCTACAAAATATGAACTTAAATATGTCGCAAAGAAAATTAATTAAAATCACATGTTGATAGTTGTCATGGTTTAATAGATCAGCTTCATTTGGGTTGGTTGAATGATAGGAATTGGATTGAACCTGATGCATCATGGGAGCATTTGCTTGATATTGATTGTCTATAATGGAAACGAATGAATTCAAATACTTTATTATCCCACTTCTATGATACACATATTTTCTATAACTAGATGAACTTATATCAATAGCAATGTCTTTCTCATGATCTGTTAAATGTAGATCGCAAATGTCCTTTAGATATCGAAAATAGACGTTCACTTAGAGACATTTATTTATCATCAAATCAAATTTGAATCTCACCCATATGATAACTAAACAATCATCCATAGAGAAAGGGTAGAATAAGAACAAAAATGAACAAATTTTGAAGTTCGAACAATTGATACAAGAGAAAAACGAGCGAATTCGATCAAAAGTTCTAGCTTCTTGGCATTGATTGTGTTAAAAATCTTCGTTTGACCTTGAAAACTCTTCTTGATTTTTCTCAATTGGTCTCAATATTTGGTAAAATTTATTTATATCTAGAGATATTTGCATTTCTAAGTACTACTTGAATGGAAATCTTTATTTTCAAAGAAATGTTATCTTATCGCAGATTTATCGAACAATTCCTCAGATATTTACTATGAGTAGTGCCATATCCATCTTTTGAAAAAAAAACAAGTCTTTCTTTCAGTCTCTATTGTGATATACAGATAATTACTCAACGATTATTGAAAATAGATGTCTATAAATTGTTGAAAGTATCTTCGATCTTCATGTTATTTGGGAAATTCTGTGATGGATCTTAGAGCGATTGATCTACTAAACATGAAAAAGCCTAAAAAGGATCAAAAGCTTAAAGAGAGGAGCCAGAAGATTTATTCATGAAAACTACAAGGATTAGCGTAGGATGAAACACGTCACTAAAATATGAACTCTAGAAAACAAAGAATTATGAAATGAGATTGAAATTTTCAATCTTATCCAGAAAAGTATGGCTTTTATTGATTATTTATTTTTATGTCTTTCAATCAATAAGTGACAGAGAGAAGATGGTCAGATTCTATAAAGTAAGATATACAATGCATTTGCTGAAATCAAAAGTGTATTTGTATATCTGCTATGGGCTAACTCTGTGATGTAAATGTGAAGAAACTGCAGTTCCAGCGTTAGAAGATTAGCCAAAATGAATACTTCTGCAAGTTTTCTTCAGTGATTTCATGTGATTTACTCACCGTCTGTTTTGACCTGCCTATCCATTGTATTAGATGATTCTGAAACATCTTAATATGACAATAAAAATATTGCTGATTTTGTTTTTTTTTTGTCTTACCAATAGTTGATGATGGCTGAACACGATGTCGTGTTTTGTGTTTTCTTCTCTTCACTGATGAATATTGATCATCAGGCGACGAATTTTTCGAATGTTTTTTTTCATATGAGTTAAAGGCATTTGTATCCATGTATCGACGTGCTGGTACTTGCGGATGATATGTGCGCTCAGTTTGTCTTGGATAACCTTCGATTGAAAATGAATGATATTTTTTTCTAAAGTCAATAATAGAAAAGAACCTGTTTGAGTCGTTGCTATTGTCACTGATCCGATATCAGCTAAAAGTTGATCATTATCATAATTCTTTCCAAAATTCACACTGGACACATAGGATTGAGCAGTGTTAAGATAATCTTGTTTAAGTTGATGAAGTATATGAGAAATATTAGTTTTTTCCATAGGATTAAAATTAGCATTTGTTATTATTAATGTCTGTTGTGAAGGAAACCTTTCTAGTGATTTTTGCAACAATGCTCCTGAAGGGTGTTGTATTGATTGAAAATAGTTTGTTGTTTCTTGAGCAATATTGAGTGGTTGCGACCTTTTTCTTGTGTCTAGTTCAAAAGTAATATTGTTGTTAGAAGCATCTAATTCATTCGGTACTCTTTTTATGGTATACTTTGCCTTACCAGATATTTGTTCTTTTGATCGATTGAGATGTATGAAATTGTCATAGGACGAAGCTATATGATAGTTTGCTAATGGATACTGATCATAATTGTATGCATGAGGGATTTGTTTCGTTCTAAGTTGTTTCACTAGTGAATAATTGTGCCCGTTTTGATAATCCATGTATGACTTAAACTCTTGACCGTGCGAAGATTGTTGTGTTGGCTGATATCCAACTGATGAAAGGTTTAGTTGGCTACTAAATATGGGTTCAAGTTCGACGACATGACTCCTTTCTAGAATGAGATGTTATCAACAAACTCAATTTTAATCGAATTATTTTCATTCCAGAAAAAAAGTAGAGTTATGAGTGTGTTTCGAATAATGTTTCCAATAAGAACCTGATGGATAGCTGTAGTTTGTGCAGCGAGGAAGTGATGTTAATGGTGCATCGAATTATATATTACAGATCTTTCTAGAAAGTTTTTTTGACAGTTTACAGTCAAACTTTTTGGAAATTAGTGGATCGCATCTGGTCATTACAATGAATTTTCGATATTCTAGAGTATCTTAAAAGGTTAAATTAAGAAATTTAAAAAGAAATTGTGCACGATCAAGATTGTTAACTTCATTCATTCAGGAGTTACAGACATTCCACTATGAGCTCCTATGCAATTTTTTTCGTGAAAAATAGAAATAAAACTTGAGTTTTTCATTAGATTGCCATAAAGTTTTGCTTAATCACCACATTCAACTAGCTGAATTTTTGAAACAAGAAATCAATAGAAACCCTAAACTAATATGAAAGAAAAATTTGTTCTACATGATACGAAATATCGTTATATTTTTCTAACGATGAAAAGTACAGCTCCCTGTCTTGATCTTATAAAAAATTGTTTCCAAAAAAAAAAAAGACTGGTTGCTCTTCTTTTTTGAAATGAATAATAATACCTGCTGAATTTTTATGAACTGATCTACCATAATCAGGACGATTCATGATATATCTAGCAGTTGGTAATTTACTCGATGCTCTGTTGGCCATTATTTATGTGTTAAGGTGAGCACGTTGTTGGCTGAAAAGAAAAATGTATTGTTTATAACGGTATAATGCATATACATAAATAGAAATCAACGAAAGCTAGCAGTGAGAAGAGAATCAACCAAGCATGACTTTATCTGGCCCAATTGTGTATCAGTATGCGTTATTTTATCTAATACACAAATTTCACGTCGACGATCAAGCAGTTTACTATGAATCATATATTTGCTCATGCAACAGGGGAGATACTAAAATAACTGCTTCATTATTACGAGATATAATGATAGTTTTCAAACAGAATATGTGTTCGAAAGTAACAATGTATTTTGTCGTACAGAATAAAATACTAATATGGCTATGACGTAGATATTCGAAATTTGAATTGTAAGCTTATGTCGTGAAAATCATCTTGATGTTTGTGATTTCATAAAAAAATCACCGTAAAAGCGATTTTTAATTAGATTTCTCTGAAAGTTGAAATTCTACTTTTTTATGATTTCAACGATAAAAACAGTTGCTCAAAATCGCAGCTAAAATCGAAGCGATTGATTTCTATGAATCATGATTTTTGTTGATCAAGTATGCATCGCATAATAGCTCATACGGGATTTAGATATGCATCAACCAATGAAAACGATATCAAACATATTAGCATCATATGTGAAGCTGTGATTTTTGCAACAGAAAAAGAAGTCAATATATATTGCCACTCTTTACATATACATATGTGCATTAGATGTATCAATGAATAGGATTAGACAACAAATTGGCGTTATTTATTGATAGCATTGCATTGTGGGGATGAAGAAAGATAATCATTTAGACTTAGGTCGCCTCTATTATAAATAGAGCAGAATGTAGAGGGGGAGGGGAGAGTCATTGTTTGAGAGTTTTCGTTCAACTTATTCACAAACTAGAGACTTATGGAGTCAAGTTTTTATAGCTTCGATGCCAACTCCGTTTTGAAAGGTTTTTACAATTCCAGCCCCGACTTCGACTCCGAAAAAACTCCGAATTTTTTTTCAAATCAAGTCAAGATTTTCACTTTGTTAATAATGATGATAAAGAAGATATTGACATTTTGGGTATTTGGCATAAACGACAGCGTTTATTTCTAACTTTATTTTCAATTGCTAGGAAAATCTTTGCAATATCGACGTCAAACACCACGATTAACACCGTTTCTCCTCATCGAAAAACAGTATCGGCTAGCGTAGAACAAATTTTGACGATGAAAAGCTTAATCAACATATGTTTTATAAAAAAAAAAAAACCTAGTTTTATTCAAAGAATTTCGTCAAACTCAGAAGACCTGAACAAAAAGATCAGATTTCGATCCACTTTGAATTATGTCAAGATAATCAAGCGAAATAGTAGTTACAAAATCATGTAAAGAAGATGAAAATATATCGAATGACGAATGTAGAGATATTAAATGGCGGTGATCTTTTTTTCGCAGTCTTTAGTTGTAAAAGTTAATCTAGTGTGGATGTTTTTTGTTTTGTTTTCGTATTTTCATGTTTGGTGTTACTGAGCTATTGAATTACAAGTTCTAATTACCAAGGAGTTACGATTGGGAAAAAGATATCGCACAAGAAAAGAAAGGATGCAATAGAGTTGTTGGAGTTTCTATAATTTGTATCGGTTTCGACTCAGTCCGAGTCGGAATCGAAATCAGGTTTCGGAGTTCAGTACAGGTCTCTAACACAAACCATCATCCTTATCGAAGTTTAGATCAAGAAAAAAAATACTATATTGCAGTGCATTGCAGATCATGGTAGACATGTTGCCAAACTATTTTGAGTTTTAGAGCCTTGGATTCAGTCGGTGGTGATTCTGTCTGAAACATGTTTTATTTTATGTTTTTCGATCACTCCCTGATAGACTTTCATTGTAGTAGCATGTAATGAACTTTCAAATCTCAACACTAAGATAAAACCTCTTTTTTGTTCTCACAACGTACACTTTTGAATCATGTTACAAACTGGGAAATTGGTGTCTACATGTCACCGACAAAGAACACCTCCGGTTATTTAGACTGGTTTTGAAATTACAATTTTCATTTTAGTTCTAAAGTTTTGAATGCGTAGAGTTGTTGCCAAGTCTCTTGAATTTCTGCACTTCAAATATTTGATTTCAAGAAATTTAATTAATTCCAATATAGTTGAAACTCTTCAATTGCATAAAAATCATTTTTCTTTGTACTAAGATTGATTGCTTTCTTTCATAGAGTGAAAGACATCTTCACATTTCTTGATTCCATGATATCAACTGAAGTTGTCTATTCGAAATCTTTTTTATTTGAAATTGTGTAAACAAGTTTATATTTTTTCACAATGTTCATACATTGTTTAAATGCTACTTGTCGCCTGAAATATCGTCACATTTGATAGCCGGTTTGTCTTCGCTAACTTTAGAAATATATATTTACTAACCAACTGTCTAGGACAGTTATTATTAAACACTAATAATTAGCCAGCAACTCTCTTCAAAGAAAATGAATATTAGTATGAAGTATCAGTAAAGGAATATTATATCAACGAAGTTTCTTTGCTCAACAATTGAGCATGACTATTTGATTATTATTTTGATCGAAACTATTTGAAAGTTCTAGTTTCATGCATTAACAAGTATGTCACGGAGTATAATCAAGAACCCAAATTGATAATCATGGATACTTTTCTTGCAATTGGTACGCAAACAGACTTGTACATAAATAGGTTCCTTTGATTTATTTATTAGCCATTCTATAACATACCCAGATGAATCAATATAAGTCCTTTGAGTATGGTTAAATTGAGTGAACGTCTCTATCAACTCTTGCGTCAATATCTCGAACAACATAAGACCCAAAAAACTGTTTATGTTGTACCAATGACGACTACTTAGATTTAGCGACAAAATCAGTTTTGATTATATTCATGCATGCACCATTTATTCACATCAATAAATATCTACTTTGAGCTTGCTGTATATCGTGTACTTCTCGAATCGGAACTGTAAAGGTTGATGCAACTTTGGCAGAAATAAGACCCATTGATAATGGAATATTATTGATTCTGTATGGCCTATTCGATGAAAAGTGCTTTATTCTGCTTATTTCATGCGATTGACCCATACTTTTACAGTAGATAGATAATATCATGAGGTTAGTTGATAAAAAGCTCAAGTAAAATAAATAACCCCTGTTGAGCAATAGATATTGATTGAAACGTTAAGAACGTCACATGTGGGTATTGTGTGAATAGCATAGCGAAATTTTTTATGAGCGCACACTTTTGTAGATTGTTGTTTTATTTTTATTTTAATTAATTTAGAAAATAACAGCTTATCATAATCACTTATTGAACACGTTCCTAAAATATAGAGAAACAATCAAGGTTATATACAAATGTAAGAAAAAAAAAATTAAATCCTACAGATTATTCGAAGAAAAATTTCGATTTAGCAATGAAATGATATTCTGATAGTGAAACTCGAATAGAACATTGTGCTTCTCTTCATATGAACTCATTTTTACTTCTAATAAACTTAAAAATAAGTCCTTCAATCAGAAACATAATTTATCGAATGAAACACGTGTGTTTAGAATTTAGTGAATGTATTTATGAAGAATATTATTTAACAATGATATCCTGTAGTCATCGAGTATTCGAAGCTTAGGTTTTATCGTTTCATTTATCTATGAAGTATTGCAAATAAATATGTCTTCATTTTATCCACTAAAACAAATATGTAAGTATTAATGAAGACCAGCTTAGTTGTAGGGCACGGAGCTAGGATAGATCGTCGCAGGACATAATGTCGCATGGAAAAATCGTTGCGGCCAAAATGTTGTGATATTTTATAGGACAAAATATCTGTGCATCATCAACTAATTTTGTAGAAAGCAACAATAAAAAGTCAAAAAAAATAATGAGAAACGTCTTCAGTTTCGCGAAAGAAGTTGAATACTGAATTGAAAAAGGACTGATACATACATCAAATCCACAAAAGATTTTTCTGTAGACATATCTGAGAAAATGTGGATAAAAACTCTATTAAATTATGTATATAACAAAGCAGTTTGCAAGCATATATGAATTCTTCGCATTTAGGTACAAAAATTTTATTTCCATGACAAAATCTGAAAGATTTCGATACGAAAGATTCTTCTAGCGCAATATTGAAAAGTTTCTGAGAGTTTTGTAAATGTGTCAGTACTTTTTTTTCAGTTTAGTGGTTGATTTCTTTCAGAAAGTCTAGTCTTTTCACTTTTTATTATTGCATCCTACAAAAATTAGTTGATGATACACAAATATTTTACATAATAGAATATTGCAACGTTTTCTCCGCAACTATTTTCCCTTGCAACAAATTCTTCGTGACGAATTGCCCGTAATGATTTGTTCTGCGACGACCAGACTGGTCACCATGAAAGATAGATATATTTTATTTTGTTTGGAATTTAATTTAGTATTTATTTTTAAATTCCAATACAGATAAATTATCAGTGTAATATGAACTTTTGGTTTATTGTCATTTATATCAAAGCTTAATTTGAAGATTTTTTAAATGTTCTTTATAGGTATTAATGAAGAAATGAAAATAATGCCAAAGACAGAGAAAAAACTAAAACAAAAGAATGAAAATAAAGATGAAGATATTCCTGAGTTGAGTTTGAGATTAGAAATAATGTCGTATGTTAAGAATATTTTGCTTTTATTGCATAGATGAAAACGATGAGGAAAAAGGTACGATGACAGTTGATGATTTCTTCAATGTCGGTAAATTACTTAACAAATGATGCAGATAGTAAAAGTATGAATTAAAATTATGTTGAAATTCAAACTAAATTTATGAAAATAAAAGATAATTGTAAACATGAAATCAAATTCAAATGGTAATCATGATGATCTTATCGAGTTAGATAATTCTATAATAAACAATCGATTGTATCTATTTCTATCTATAGAATAAAACTTTCTTCGCAATTTGAAATGTAATATTTTTCTTTTATTTTACGTTCTATTTCTGTTCAACTGATTTCATCTGAAAAAATGAACACTTGTAAAAATTGTTTTATAGAATTGTATCTCTTTGTTAAAGTCAATTGAAGACGAAAATCTTTGAAAGTTAAGACAAGCAATGATATTGATCAAAGCAAAAAAAGATTTTTTTTGTTTGTATCGTATTGGACAAGTGTGTCTAAGAAGATGGCAAAATGAATAAGAAGAAAGAACTCTATATCGATTATGTTGTTTCTCACGAAAAAAGTCTCGCTAAATGATAAATCGATTCTGACATGAATCTTACTTACTGAAATAGGTTCTGTCGATACCTGAGAAAGTCTGAAAAGATTCATGTTCATCAGTAGTTCTTTTTATATTATGGCCATTCTAGTGAACTATTTTTATAGTATCCTATGATCTAGCTTAGATTACATTCACCATCAACTTTCGAATTCGAACTTTGTACAAATGAAGTTCTCAATGAGAATAGTGCTATGTGACAGGATTAGACTTTTCTAGTGGCTATTATCTTCAGGCACGGGATATTGAATATTTTTTTTATGAGCACACAAATCATTGCTTCTATATATATATTTGATGAAAGAACATATTAAAATATCTAACATTGTCAAAATGAACTAATGCTATTAAGAACTTTATTTGTGCTATGTTTGATTTGAAAACTTGATTCTAAAAAATGAGTCGAGCAGAGCTCTGATTTATGTTGGCAAATTTACTAAAGCAACCATAACTCAAGAAATACCTATGAACACGAAACCTTTCAGTTTTTTTAGTCTGACTAGGGCTTATCTAATGAGATAAGACTCATCCTGGGACAAATTTATTCCTGAGTAAGATTCTGTCGTGAGAAGAGTTAGTAAAGAGGTGAGACCATGCGTATTTTATTCGTTTTTGGTTGAAGAAGTATCAGATATCAATGAAGAATTGTTCGAAGTAAGAGTATTAAACAAAGAACATATGGATATTGTCTAAAAAAACTTAGAATAATTAAATATTTCTTATACTTCCGAAAGAAGCTTGAATAGTTTTCATAGATATAATGAATAATATCGTATTTTCACAGAGAAATAGTTATTTCAATAGATGTAACAAACAAAATAATATTTATGTTTAATCTGGCAACAGTTTCTATAAATAATACTGTGTTTGATTATAATTATATTGTTATAAAAATCTCAAGGCACTAGTACAATTCATCGCACGACAATTCGTCGCAATCAATTCGTCGCGCGATCAATTCGTCGCACGACAATTTGTCGCGATCAATTCGTCGCACGACAATTTGTCGCGATCAATTCGTCGCAAAACAATTCGTCGCACATGCATTGTAGAGAATACATTGATTGAATTAAGTAATTTAGTTTAAAATGTTATACAATTAATCGCCTTAACAAAAATTTTTCTTTAGACTCATAAGAATCTTTTTTCAGATACAATGGTTTTTTCAAAAATAGAATAGAAATATCAAATTAAAGCCTATTTTAAAATTTAATTAAAAAAAATTGAAGTTTGATTTTAGATAAAATTCTATGTAAACAAATTAAAAATAAAGTTCATTTTTTGCAATTGAAATTCAACATTTTATTTAAAAAGAAGCTGAAAATTAAAAGAAAAATATAAAATTGAAAAAAATTTTACAAATCTAAATTAAAAAAAATTAAAGTTTTTTATTTATTGAAAACATAAATTTTAATGACAGAAAAAAGAACTTTATTTTTAACTTGTCAACATAGAATTTTATTTAAAATCAAACTTCAATTTTTTTAATTAAATTTTAAAATAGGGTTTTAAATTGACATCTGTATTTTATTTTTGAAAAAATATTGTATTCTGAAAAAATATTCTTATGAGTCCAAAGAAAAATTTTTGTTAAGGCGATTAAATGTATAGCATTTTAAACTAAATTACTTAATTCAATCAATGTATTCTTTACAATACATGTGCGACGAATTGTTTTGCGGCGAATTGATTGCGACGAATTGATCGGTCGCCAAATCTGAAATATCCATTGAATTAAAATTCTTTAGCTTGAATGATCTCGATGTTTTTCTTTCGAGTCAATTAAGAGACTTAAAGTAACAATTTATTCAAATAATTTTAATTTTTGATGAAGGTCATAATAATGCAAACGAAGATATACAATCCATGAAATCTTAAGTTATATATTTATCAAATACATCATTAAATCATATGTTTGTTTTTTGTTTTATTTCTGGTTTTAAATATTTATTATGATATATTTCAGTGATACAGTTACTGAAGATAAAGTTCATAATTTATTTTTACGAAAACATTATAGAACATTTACAGCATTAATTGCAAACTTTTTACCCAAAATAGAAAATTTGCGAACAAAAGAAATTAGAGAAGGTATTGTTCAAAAGCCGACAACAATTCTAAAACATTTCACTATGGAAGAAAAAGTTATCGATGACAAAAAACATATTAAACTTAATACAGTTTAAGGGACTTTTCATTCATCAATGCTCAACTAATTGTTTATGTTTAGAAAGTTTACTTTTTCAAATGTATTTGTTGCTTGAATAAATTTAAAAAAAAGAAACTTACAATCAATAGAAAAGAAGAATATTCATACAGGAAAAAATTTAAAAAAAAATCGTATTTTGACTTATTCTCTCTACTGGAAGGAGGGTCATACAGCGAGTTGAGTTCGTATGTTCGTAACTTCGCTCATCCGTTCGCACAGAACAGAAAAAGGTTTTTTTTAACCTTAAGCAGATTTCGTAGTCAAAACATTGACAACAATTGCCAGCCATAGTGCCAATCAGGGTTTTTTCGATTTGAGCCAACAGCCAATGGGAATTCGCGGATCGAAAATCCAACCAATCAGAAGTTTTCCAAGATGGGCCATCAACTAATGGGGTTTCGCCTAGCGGAAATCGAGTCAATCAGGGTTTTTTCGATTTGGGCCATCAGCCAATCGGATTCTGCGGATCCACACCCACACCCACACCAACACCCTGCAGCCACAGCCACAGCCAAACCCAAAGCCACACCCACTTCCCAACTCACTTTCCACCAGACGCAGACTGACACCTGCGCCAACACCAAAGTTACTGGAGACGATGCATTCCTAGTTTTATTGAGTTTGGTAGCTTTCGCTTATAAATTCAGTCGGCGAAATTCGTCGTTGGTGAAAAACTCCTTCAGAAAAATTGCAGTCGGCGAAAATCAACAGCGAATATGATAAAAGCCTGTTTTGTCTCCTATCTGTAGCGTTGGCTGAGTTTTCATTAAACATACCTAACAAAATGATATCTTTTCTATTATCTCCTCCATGTTCTAAATACGTTTTATCGCGCACCATTTATTATCAAGAAACTAGGCAAATATTGAAAAATTTTACTTGCATTATTTTTTCTTATTCTTTGCATCTCGTGAAGAATTGGTTACAGAAATTTGTACGAGACAAGTGAGTTCTAGAAATTCAATAACACTCTGAATCAGCAATGACGATCTATTCTAAAAGCTAGGCTAGTCATAGCACGTATAGAACATCTTTTTGACTAATTCACACTGTTGCTAAAAAAGTTTTACACTATTCATGCCACTTTCTTCGATTAGTTTCTATTTGTATTACCTGATGGACGAACGTATTTCTGATAATGAGACTATTTAAAGAGACATCAGCCCCTTAATAAGTTATGGCATAAGATTTTGGTATCTCTGTATTATTAAGTACCGTCGGGTTGCATGTTTGAATTGAGTTTTGTCATCTTTTTTTATTATCTTGTTATTTCAAGGATTAGTCTGAATCAGGTAAATAAACAAACGGACTAGACATTATGAGGTTGGAAGACATTTTGGACTAGTCAACACGTGGTTGCATGACAACTTTTGTGCTGATGGCTAGTGATGATGAATATTGAGACATCTTTAGAAAAGAGTTGACGGGCATTGTTGACATTTTGAACTGTTTATGTACCTGCCTTCATTAATTTTTAGTGCACTCGGACAGCTACCAGAGTAACTGATAGCATGTAATATTTTTGTTCATTGGCACAGCTGCACATCAGTACTGATAACTTACTATCCCAGTGTTCTAGAAATGAAAATTTACTACTGCGTAACCCAAGAACTAATGTCTGCGCCGGCATGAAAAAAGGATGGAGGCAAGTCATATAACTTGAGAACGGAATTAACTAGCTACTTGCGGCTTTCAGCAATCGATAGAGGAGACTCTGGCATGTATTGTTGCCAGATGCTATAGAAGACCAAAATTATTTTGAAATGCATCATCTTTGCAAAAAATTCAGAAAGAACGCATGAAAACGATCTTCCGTTTTCATATAATTTTGATTTTCACATGTGCTTCAGATGGAGGACTTGAAATCTAGTGCTCAAGGGATGATCCAAGTGATCATATTCTCATTATTCAAAAGCCAGGAAGCCTAATCGCGCATCTATGCAGACAAATTACATAAAACTCTATTGATTTTTAACGAATTCATTTATTGTTAATTCGTCACTTTTACACGGTCGAGATAAGTCGCATCTTATTTTCGTCGGTTACGTACATTTCTTTGTTCAACTCGTCGAATTCATTTATTTGATAAATTACTTATATTACATTATTTTCAAATTATTTTTGAAATTATTAATTAAGTTAATTAGTTCCAGTCGATTCTACGAGTGGTTCATCGTTAATTATGCCTCCCAGAAAAGGAGGAACTAATTTATCCAAACAAGGACAAATTTATGTTAATGGTGAAAATGTAAATCAAGGTCAAACAGCAGTAGCTGATGTTGGAGGAACAATGGCGATGAGTCATATTCCGAGAACAAAGGCCTATGCTACAACAAAGACTTCTTCAGGAACAAAGGCTGGCCTGATAAAGCAATCAAATTTTAGCATTGCTCCTCTAATTCTAGAGGGTGTTAAGCTACATAAATTACAATTAAATGATGTTATCAAACAGCATTTAAAGGACTTACGAATATCTGATATTCAGCTAAGTCGATCAGGTCACTTTACAATATATGCAGCTGATGTTAGCTCGTTTAATCGTCTATTAAATGAGTTAACACCAATACTTGCAACAAATGGACAGGCTACAGCTAAAATATATGTGCCCCGATCCATTCAACGTATTAAAGATACGGAAAAGGTCGCATTTGTTAAAAATGTCGACATAGAAATTCCTGAAGGTCGAATAACTGAAGCATTAAAGGACGTTGGACTTGATGCTATTGATATTGTTCGACTAATGAATAAAACTAAAAATGTTCCTACTAGAACAATCAAGATTACATTTAGTGATCCACATAATCGAAATACATTCGTCCATACTGGTTTACAAGTGGACTCAATACATTTCATAGCTGAAGCAGCAAATCAAAACACCAAACCTGTACAATGCTATATATGTCTGAAATACAATCATGTGGCAAAATACTGCAAAACGAAACAGCAGATATGTGCTAGATGTGGTGAAACTCATCACATTGAACAATGTAGTGCTGGTAGTGATGTAGTAAAATGTTGCAATTGTAAAGGAAGTCATTTAGCAACATCAAATGAATGTGCAACTTATAAAGAACAGGAGAAACGAATTAACAATTTAGTTAATCAATATTCATCTCCGAATGTACCAACAACATCAGCTCCAGCCATTCATGATTTAAATGAATTCCCATCGCTACCAAACATCTTACAACGTCAACAAGAACACATTCATAATGAATTATTCGATGAAATTATCAATGTATTAAGCAGCAAAATGGAAAAGATTATCGAAGAAACAACCAGCCGACTATTCCAGAAGCTACTTACGAAGATCAAGAAGATCGAAACATTCATCGAAACACACGACAACAACGTTAAAGGTGCCTTGACTTTATCGGATTCTGATTCAGAAGAAGAAAGTCAAATAGTTAAACACATTAAAAACAAGCAAAAACAAAAGGTAGCAATATCCAATTTAACCACATCTGCAAATGATACATCAAACAAACCAACAACAACCTCAAACGTAACTTCATCGAAACCACCACGAAAAGCTAAACAAGGATCAAAAACTACAAAAAGAGTTCGATCACCCAACAGCTCCTTAGATACATCGACATTTGACAGCAAAGATCTCAAAACAAGCAACAACGATGATTAGTGTTTGTCATATTAACATTATCACTATCAGAAAACACAAAGACGAACTTCTTGCCAGATTCTCCAAATACGACGTCATATCTGTAAATGAAACTAATCTGAAAAGAGACCAACCGTTCTCTCTGAAAGGTTACAACATTTTCAGAAACGACCGAGTAGAAAAACCTGGTGGAGGAGTATTACTAGCTGTCAAACAACATATCAAATGTAATGAAATTCTTAGCAAAACTGTTGGAAAAAATGAAATTATAGCTGTGGAAATTGCTACACGTTCATTAAAGAGCGTATTAATCTCTTCGATCTACGTACCACCAACAGCAAAAATCCAGATCAACATCTTTAATGAACTGTACAATTTAAACAACAACTGCATCGTAGTAGGTGATCTCAATGCAACATTATACAATATGGGATCAAGAAAAACAAATGCCAGAGGAAAACAGTTACAAGAGGTAATAAATGAAGGTTATTTTAACTGTATTGATGATGTTAGTACCACATATGAAAAGAATGATTATGAAGTAAAGATCGACTGGATATTAGCCAGTCAACCTCTTCATTCATTAATATCAAACGTCGAAACCCACCCAACAATCGGTACATTAAGTGGTCACAAACCATTAACCTTCGATTTACCAATTGGACCTGAACCCAAACCTGCATCTCCAAGATTATCCCTTAACTTCAAAGCAGCAAATTGGCCAAAATTTAGAAATACATTAAATGAACAACTAATACTATGGAACAAACATCGTTATATAAATTCAGAATCAGATATAGAAGAATATACGTCGTTTATTACCAACAGCATTACTACAGCAACACAAGAAGCCATACCAACATCAAAAAAATTGAACACAAACATTAAACTAAGTGAAGCAACCAAACATCTGATCCAGCTCAAACATAAAACTTATCGTAAATGGAAGAAGACTGGAGAAGATAGTGAAAAACAGCAATATTATAAATGTAAGTTGTTACTGACAAATTCACTTAGAAACGACAGAAAAATCAACTTTAACAACCTTATGTCGTCATTATGTCAGAAGAAAATGTATTCAGATTCAGTATGGCTTACGGTTCGCAAGTTTCACAACAAGCGAATAAAACAAAGCCACAGTAACAACATCAAATATAACAATGTGACTGCAACATCAGATAAGGAAAAAGCCGATCTATTTGCTGGATATTTTCAAAATGAAGTCTATGTCAAAGCTCCTGACACATTACCGTTTCATCAGCAAGTGACAAGACAAACTTCTAACATTAAAAACAGATCTTCTAACACGAAACTAAACAAGTGGAAGAAGATCACAATAGAAGAAGTTAAATATAACATCAAACAACTTCGAAACACCTCCGCTGGGCCTGACAACATCCACAACAGATGTCTGAAAAATCACACACAATCACTGATTCAACATCTGACTAAATTATTCAACTCCATATTAAATATGGGTTATATTCCAAGTGGATGGAAAAATGCAAATATTATACTTTTATTAAAGCCCAACAAAGATAGACAACATCCGTCAAGTTATCGTCCGATTAGTCTTCTTAGTTGCCTCGGCAAACTTCTGGAGAAAATAATCAAGCAACGACTGATGGTTATTCTGGACCGACGCAACATCCTTCCAGAACATCAAGCTGGCTTTCGACCACGGAAAAGCACTTTAAACAACATCATAAGGCTGACAAAGTATGCACAAAATCAGCTCCATTCAAATGATCGTAGTCGTCATGCAGCAGTTATATTATTTGATATTAAAGCTGCATTTGACTCTGTCTGGCATGAAGGACTAATATATAAATTAAATGAACTACGTCTACCACAATATTTAACAAATTATCTGATTTCGTTTCTTCAAAACAGAACTGCTGTTATAGAAATCGAAAATATATTATCCAGACCATTCAACCTTAATAGTGGTACTCCACAAGGATCTCCGTTATCACCATTACTCTACATTATATATACGGCAGATTCGATGAATGGAATACCAGAACATACAGAACATGGTCTTTTTGCCGATGACACCGCACTATGGACATCATCCAACACAATAACAAGCCTTAATTCCCGCCTACAACAATCCATAGATGCATTCCAAAGTTGGTGCAAATCGTGGAAACTAAAATTACAACCAACAAAAACTGAACTCGTCCACTTCACTGTACATCCAAGAAAACAATATAAAAATCCAGTCGCAGTCAAAATAGATGATATATCCATCAAACCATCCAACTCAACAAGATATTTAGGTGTTATTATTGACAAAACGTTGAATTGGAGAAGTCATATCCATCACATTGAATCGAAGATTGCTGGTCGTATTAGTCTGTTACGGTTTTTAAACAGAGCAGCTTACGAACCTAATGACAAAATTATGTTAAACATCTTCAAATCAATTGCAAGATCGATTATCATCTATGGTTATCCAATATTACTTACTGCCAATGATAAAATATGGGAAAGACTACAAATAATGCAAAACAAAGCCATTCGTGCTGCATTAGGATTACCCATATATACATCCGTCGAATATATCCATCGAATTACCAATATCCCCAAAATTAAAGAATATGCCGTTACTCTCCTGCAACGTTATATTCAAACAGCAACATCAAATAACGACCAACTACTAACCAACAACCTGCAAGATATATTCAACAAACTTCAATAAGAAATCACCTACCCATGTTACATATTACATATAGCATCGTCATTATCGATCATTGTTGAGTCGACCGAATCCATACAAAAATTGTTATATCGGAATCATCGACTTTAACTTTGCATCATACATATATATATATACTATTATAACAACTTCCATCGTATAACCTCTTTTCACGAGACATAAGACATTCGTCATGCGTCTCGGCGTTTCTCTCCAGCCTTTTGTATATTTGTATATATTGTTGCTTCTTTTTTGTTA